AAAAAAAAAAAAAAAAAAAAAAGATGGCCAGACAAAGTGGGCTGGAGAGAGCAGCCACAGAGGAGGAGTCCAGAGTCCTAGGGCGGCAGTCGCTGGTTGCACTCTGTTCTTGGTAAACAGAAGATGAATGGGTGGATGGGTGCATAGATGGGTGGGTGTGCGATTTGGTGAGTGGTAGGATGGATGGATGGATGGATGGGTGGATGGATGGGTAGGTGAGTGGATGAGTAGATGAGTGGATGGATGGATGGATGGATGGATGGATAGATAAGTGTGTGGGTGAGTAGATGGGTGGGTGGGCAGGTGGGTAAGTGGATGGATGGATAGGTGGGTGGGTGGGCTGGTCAGTGAATGGATGGATGGATACATGGGTTAGTGAGTGGATGGCTGAGTACGTGAGTAGATGGATGGATGGGTGGATGGGTGTGTGGTTGGATGGCTGGATGGATGCAGTGCGTGGGTTGTGGACGGATGGGTAGTGGGTAGAAAGATGGATAGGTGGGTGGATGCATGTGTGGAAGGATGTGTGAGTAGGTCTGTGGATGAATGGAATGGATGGGTGGGTGAGTGAGTGAATGAGTGGGTAGGTGGGTAAGTGGATGGATGGATGAATGGATGGATGGATGGATAAGTGTGTGGGTGAGTGGACGGATGGATGGGTGAGTGGGTGGGTGAGTGGATGGATGGGTAGTGGGTAGAAAGATGGATGGGTGGATGGGTAAGTGAATGAGTGGGTAGGTGGGTGAGTGGATGGGTGGATGGATGGATAAGTGTGTGGGTGAGTGGATGGGTGGGTAGGTGAGTAGATGGATGGATGGGTGGATGGGTGTGTGGTTGGATGGGTTGTGGATGGATTGGTAGTGGGTAGAAAGATGGATGGGTGGGTGGGTACGTGTGGAAGGATGTGTGAGTAGGTGTATGGATCGATTGGATGGATGAGTGGCTGTGTGAACAGATGGGTGGGTGGGTGAGTGAGTGAATGAGTGGGTAGGTGGGTGAGTGGGTGGATAGATGGATGGATGGATGGATAAGTGTGTGGATGGGTGCGTGGGCAGGTGGGTGGGTGAGTGGATGTATGAATGGATGGATGGGGGTGTGTATGGATGAATGGGTGGACAGATGGGCAGATGGTTGATTCAACTGGAGGTGCAGATGGCACAGGTCCTTGGAGTCCAGCCCTTTACTGATGGGCTGGGGAATGGAGGTCCAGGGGAGGAGGGGCTGCCTGAGGCCAGCCAGGGACTGATGGACTCAGAGGAGCCTGCTCTTTTGCCTGCCTGTCCGGGGTTCCAGTTTAGAAACTAGGGCAGAGCAACTGTTACTTTGGCCCAAGGTCCTGACATTTAGAAGGGGCAAGAAGTTTAGAGGGGTGCACACATTCTTGGCACATGCCTCTTCCAACTCCTTCTACAGCCATCTTGGGCACAGAGACACACACATGCATGTGGGCCAGCCTGGTGGGCATCCACCAAGACGGACAGCCTCAGTGGCTCCAGATCAATGCAAAGCTCCCGCTGACCGGGGCCTCTTCCTCGCCAGTTAATATTCTCCACCTTTTCTGAGAAGAGGACCTGCAGGGCTCGTGTTTCAAGCTACTTTCGGGGGGCCACCAAAGGGGGTACAGGACTGGGCAGGGTGACTCTGTCAAGCCCCTGCTCTCAGGGAACAAAGGACTCAGGGATCCCACCTTGCTCTTACCAACAGATCCCTTTCATAAGTCCTGGATGGCCCCCGAAGCCCTCAACTTCTCCTTTAGCCAGAAATCAGACATTTGGTCCCTGGGCTGCATCGTTCTGGACATGACCAGCTGCTCCTTCATGGATGTGAGCCACCCCTCCCCCACACCCCACATGCTGCTCCCCACATGCCCAGGCCTGGGGAGAAGGCTTGGTTTCATCCTGCCTTCCCCGGGCTCTCTGCAGGCTGTGCAGAGCCCCCTCCTCCACCACCTATGGGGGCCCGCCCTCCTCAGAACCCCCCAGCATGCAGCACCTGCGGGCCCTAGCAGGATGGCGACAGCAGTGGGAGTATTCAGATGATCCCATGCAACCCTCAAAGCCGCCTCCATATGGTGTCGTTAACTCTTGATGGAGAAAAGCCAAGTTCAGGTGCCCTTGTGAACGTGAAGGCTGCACGGTGTTGCAAGCAATGGAACCCAGCATGGGCCCGAACACACCCGGGCCGCCTCATGCACAAGTCCCAGGCTGGTGTGGAGGTGCCTTCCCTCTTCCTGAACAGCCTTAGCATGCAGCTCTTGCTCTCATCCCTGCTGGGGCCCCTGCACCATGGCCATAGCCTGTGGGCAGGAAGGAGAGGCAGAGGACCCCACTGGCCCCACAAGCACTCTGAGGTCACTCTGGTTACAGGGAGGTGGGGAAATCTAGCCTGCTGCTTCTTATCCTCTATATGCAGAAGACAAAGTGGGGAAGTCAGGCCACCAGGCCCCAGGGCCTGCCATGCCCAAAACAAGGAAGCTCCCTTCTCCACAGCACCACGTGCAGGCACTGAGGTCTCCAGAAAGCACAGGCGCCTGGCTGGGCCCAGGTTCCCCATGCTCTCCCACACCCGCAGACTCCACCTCTGAGAAGCACCTTGGTACTCCCTTCCTTTGGAAAACTCTCAGGGAAATGAGAGCCTTCCCGCCTTTGTGACATCCTGGAAATAGTCTGAGCTCCAGCCCCAGCCCAGGCAGAGTGACCTCGGGCATGTCATATTCTGTGAAATGGGCATGCTGCCCCTCTCACTGGCTGGGTCTAGATCGGGGAATTTCTTGGCAGGACTCTACCCTAGGAAACAAGCTGACTTCTCTGAAACTCCATTCTTATGGAAGAGCTCGGGGCCCCTGGGGTCTCTGGGCATTCTTGTAGGTGGCGGCTCCACCTGGCTCTCCTGGTCTCCTCCTGGATCTCTTGGTCTCTGTTCACCCTCTGCCCATGCCAGGGCCCAGTTTCCGTTTACTTGAGGGATTGTACAGAGCTGTCCCCTCTCCATGCAGGGCACAGAAGCCATGCATCTGCGGAAGTCCCTCCGCCAGAGCCCAGGCAGCCTGAAGGGCATCCTGAAGACAATGGAGGAGAAGCAAATCCCGGATGCAGAAACCTTCCAGAACGTTCTGCCCTTGATGCTCCAGATCAACCCCTCAGATCGAATAACGATAAAGTGAGCTCAGGGTCGGGTTTTTTTTTTTTTTTAGACAGAGTCTTGCATTGTCAACCAGGCTGGAGTGCACTTTGGGTATCTCAGCTCACCACAGCCTCCACCTCCTGGGTTCAAGTGATTATCCGGTCTCAGCCTCCCGAGAAGCTGGGACTACAGGCGCGCGCCACCATGCCCGGCTAATTTTTGTATTTTTTTTTTTTTTTTTTTTTTTGAGACGGAGTTTCGCTCTTGTTACCCAGGCTGGAGTGCAATGGCGCGATCTCGGCTCACCGCAACCTCCGCCTCCTGGGTTCAGGCAATTCTCCTGCCTCAGCCTCCTGAGTAGCTGGGATTACAGGCACGCACCACCATGCCCAGCTAATTTTTTGTATTTTTAGTAGAGACGGGGTTTCACCACGTTGACCAGGATGGTCTCGATCTCTTGACCTCATGATCCACCCGCCTCAGCCTCCCAAAGTGCTGGGATTACAGGCTTGAGCCACCGCGCCCGGCCTAATTTTTGTATTTTTAATAGAGGCAGGGTTTACTAGAGATGGAGTAGGAGGCAGAGGGAGAGCCGCGCGGGGAGGAGGCAGGGGCGCTGCTGGTTTACTCAGCCCCCTCTGCTCCTCTGCTAGGGACGTGGTGCACATCACCTTCGTGAGCGGCTCCTTCAAGTCCTCCTGCATCTCGCTAACCCTGCAACGACAGACGCTGCCTGTGTCCTTCACCGACATGCTCTTAGCAGGCAACGTGGCCAGCATTTTAGGTGATGCTGGGGACACAAAGGGGGAGCGTGCCCTGGAGCTCCTCTCGGTGGCCTCGGCATCCTATTGTTTCATTCCAGAAGGCTCATTATTTATGCCCCTGGCCTAGCTCCACGTGCACAACCAGTGGGTAGGAACAGTTTTCCTCCATCTATCCCTACACATTGCTCAGGGGGCTGCCCTGCTCAAATACCCTCCATAGCTCCCAACGACCTCTAACACAAACTCCATCTCCGTAGCTTGGCCCCCACCCGTTTCCCCCCTGCTCCTGCTGCACAAATCCTCTCTGTAGCTCAATGGCTAGTCACTGCCCGGGCCTCCCACAACCCTCTGCTTTTGCTTCCACAGCCTGGCTGGCACACAGTGGCCCTGGGGCATCTTCCTCACACAGCATCACTTCCTGTGTGCCCCCATGTGCCCAGGATGAGCAAAAGTGCGCTCCGCCATTTGTGGACTCCGAGACAGGCTTGGGTTCTACTATGGAAAGGTCACTTGGTCTCAGTGGCCTCATCTGTAAAGTGGGATGGTAACAGCCCCTCCCTCTCGTCCTGAACCCGTGGATCTCAGGAGGGGATGCACACACAGCAGCCAGGCCAGTGTGATGCCCAGAGACAAGGCCCCGAGGCCCTGGTCCTCAGAAAGGTCCCTCCCCTGCCTTCCTGTCCCTGCAGAGGTCATGCAGAACTTCTCTAGCTGGCCCGAAGTCCAGCTCAGGGCCTTGAAGAGGTTTCTGAAAATGCCTGCAGATCAGCTAGGTAGGCCCCAGCCCGCACCCCTTTCCCAGTTTCGCCACGAAGGGCAGACCCATGGCCCGGCCTGTGGGGAGCTGAGGCTGGCCTCCCCCCGGGCTCTCCCTGCCGCTGCTTTCATGCAGCATGGAGGCGTGCATGCCTTCCCAGAAGCATCCCACGTCTCTGCTATCTGCCTGGGGAAGACAGCAGGGAAGGGGTGGGGTGGCAGCCCTCACATGATTTTAATGGGGCCGTAGACATCCCATCTACCCCACTATCCCTATGACGGGTATCTGAGTTGTTGCTGTTTCCACTATTATAAATGGCACTAGAATGGACACCCTGGTGTGTATCTGTGCGCTTATGTTTCTGTAGCACAGATTCCTAGATGTTCAAAGGTGTGAATACTTTACACAGCAACTCGCCCACCTATTAAGAATGCATGCCCTGGCGGCTGGCTCGTGCCTGTAATCCCAACACCTTGAGAGGCCAAGGCGGGAGGACTGCTTGAGCCCAGGGGTTCGAGACTAGCCTGGGCAACCCCATTTCTTTTTTTTTTTTTTTTTTTGAGACGGAGTTTCACTCATGTTGCCCAGGCTGGAGTGCAATGGCGCAATCTCGGCTCACCGCAACCTCCGCCTCCTGGGTTCAGGCAATTCTCCTGCCTCAGCCTCCTGAGTAGCTGGGATTACAGGCACGCACCACCATGCCCAGCTAATTTTTTGTATTTTTAGTAGAGACGGGGTTTCACCATGTTGACCAGGATGGTCTCGATCTCTTGACCTCGTGATCCACCCGCCTCGGACTCCCAAAGTGCTGGGATTACAGGCTTGAGCCACCGCGCCCGGCCGGCAACCCCATTTCTACAAAAAATAAAGTAGCCAGGTGTGGTGACATGTCTGTTGTCCCAGCTACTCGAGAGGCTGAGGCAGGAGGATTGCTTGAGCTCAGGGAATCGAGGCTATAGTGAGCCATGCTTGCACCACTGCACTCCAGCCTGGAAGACCCTATCTCAAAAAACAAACAAAACCCAAAAGGATTGTTACTGCTCATTCATGGAGAGTGTTGAGGAAAGCAGTGTTCTTGTTTTGTTTTTTCAGATGGGGTCTTCCTCTGTCCCCAGGCTGGAGTGCAGTGGTGCGATCTTGGCTCACTGCAACCTCCCCCTCCTGGGTTAAAGTGATTGTCGTGCCCAGCCTCTCAAGTAACTGGGACTACAGGTGTGTGCCACCATGCCCGACTAACTTTTTGTATTTTTAGTAGAGATGGGGTTTTACCATGTTGGCCATGCTGGTCTCGAACTCCTGACTTCAAGTGGTCTGCCTGTTTCCACCTCCCAAAGTGCTGGTACTACAGGTGTGAGCCACCGCACCCGGCCAATTTTTAAAATGCTTGTGCCAAAACCGCTTTCATAAAATCTTTCCATTCGACCTTTTTGACCTGCCTGAACATTACCTTCACACATCCACCCATCCATCATCTATCCATCAGACCTGGATTAGGAATCCACTGAGGTTTGTTGCAGTGGCTCAGGCCTCAGAGGTGATAAGGCCCAGCCCTGGCCTTGAGAGAGGTGGCAGAGGCCTCATATGGGCCATTTACCATTCCCTCCCTCCCCTCCTCCTCTTCGACCCCTTTTGGAGGTTAGCTCTGACCAGGACAGAGTCCCTGGGAAGAGAGATTTTTGCCTCCCCGGGAAAACCAGGGAAGCTGTTGGGCCCCGTCCCAAAGGGTGGGTCTTTCCCACCACCTGGAGCCACACCTCCCCCCACGCCTTGCTTAGAAATGGGCTTGCAGCCAGGAGCGGTGGCTCACGCCTGCAATCCCAGCACTTTGGGAGGCTGAGGCGGGCGGATCACTTGAGATCAGGAGTTTGAGACCAGCTTGGCCAACATGGTGAAACCAAGGTCTCTACTAAAAATATAAAAATTAGCCAGGCATGGTGGTGCCTGCCTATAATCTCAGCTACCCAGGAGGCTGAGGCAGGAGAATTGCTTGAACCCAGGAGGCAGAGGTTGTAGTGAGCCAAGATGATGCCACTGCACCCCAGCCTGGGCGATAGAGTGAGACTGTCTTCAAAAAAAAAAAGCAACAGGCTTGCTTTGCTCAGCATTCTGGGTGCCAGGACTTCTTCCTTGTTGTTCTAGTGAGCCTACAGTGGAGGGATGGCTGCCTGGCCACTGCCCCGCACCCAGTCCCCAGCCCACAACAGTTCCTGGCACAGTGGTGGGGTGGACGGAGCCCACCCATGTCCACCCTCAGGGCAGGTGCAGCCAAGGGCTCTGGAGTAGACTGGCCGGGTTCAAATGCTGGAGAGCAGATGCTTTCATCCCGCTGACCCCAGGTCCCTCATCTGCACAAGGGTAGTCCCGGCAGTGCCCACTTCACAGAGCTGTGGGCAGCAGAGCAGGACGCCCAGGGCAGACATGGCACACACTACACGGAGCTAGCGCCAATCCTTTGTCCTTCCCTCTTCTATTCACCCACCAAGGGCCCTGCAGACTCCCACCCACCTCTGGGGGCCCTGGTCTGGTCTATATGCCCTCAATCTGACTCCACAGTGAATCTCCCCTGTGCTGCCCGTCCTGCCAGGTCTACCGTGGCCCCCGGAGCTGGTGGAAGTGGTGCTCACAACCATGGAGCTGCACGACAGGGTCCTCGACATCCAGTTATGCGCCTGCTCCCTGCTGCTGCACCTCCTGGGTCAAGGTGGGCATCGGGTCGGGCGGGGTTGGGAGGCTGTCCACTGCCCCCTGTGGCTGTGTCTCCTGGGCCAAGGCGGGCACCGGGGACAGGGCAGGTGGGGGAGACGCTCCTGGTGGCCCAGCTCTCTTGTTCCCCTGCACCTGTTACCTGGTTGGTATCTGACCCTCCGGACAGTCCATGCCCTCTGTGCCCATGGGACCCTATCCCAGATGGCAGAGACGGCACAGGCCAGGAGCCTGGAGATGTGGATCCCACCCAGGCCTGGCTTTTGCCTGCTCCATAGCCCTGGACAAGCTCCTGTTGCTCTTGCCAGTTTCCCAGCTATGAAGAGAGGAGCTTGACCCGAGGTCCTCTGCTGTGACCCTCAGGGAGGGTGGTTGTGTCCCCTGGAGAGGGCTGGTAGGAGGGCAGTGCTGAGTTCATTCCACTGCCCTGATGGGCAAGGCTGGAGCTGAGAGCCCGAGCCTCCTACCAGAGACTTTGGGTTGCTAAAAAAGTTGAATTAAATTTGATCTTTTAACAAAAAGTGTTTTGTTACCTTTCTAGTTTCCTTTTTGTTTTTTGAGATGGGTTTTGCTCTTGTTGCCCAGGCTGGGGTACAGTGGCACAGTCTCAGCTCACTGCAACCTCCGCCTCCTGGGTTCAAGCGATTCTCCTGCCTCAGCCTCCTGAGTAGCTGCAACTACAGGCGCCCGCCACCACACCCAGCTAATTTTTGTATTTTTAGTAGAGACAGGGTTTCACCATGTTGGCCAGGCTGGTCTCAAACTCCTGACCTCAAGTGATCCTCCCGCCTCAGCCCCCCAAAGTGTTTGGATCACAGGCATGAGCCATCATGCATGGCCACATTTCTAGTATCAATGTTGAAGTTTTGAGTTCCAAGCAATGTTGAAATTGTGTTCAGTGCTGCCTGGCCAGCTCCAGGGGACCAGGATCCGTGGCCCAGCCAGGCAGGGCTCCCCTCCAGTCCTTCACTCCATCAGGCCACAGGCATTCACAGAGGCCTGCTCTGGGCCAGGAGAACAAGGCAGACTTCGGTTTCCTTCATGCAAAGTGGAGATGCTGTCCCCCAGCCTGTGAGCTTTGTCTGTCTGGCCGCATGCCCCAGCTGTGGGGCTAACCCCAGATGTCTTCCTCTGATCCTAACAGCGCTGGTGCTTGACCCGGAAGCTAAGGTTCCCTGCAACCAAGCCATCACCTCCACCTTGCTGCGATGTCTTCGGAGCCACCCTGAGGAGGAGCAGCTTCTGGTCATGGTCTACAGCCTGCTGGCCATCACCACAACCCAGGGTGCGGCTGCCAGCCAGCCACCTCCTGCCCCACCCACTATCCAGGACAGCCCTTCCCAGGGTCTCGGGAAGGGATGGTTTGGGGTACAGGTGGGTTGGACAGGACAGTGCTGGGCCTCCTCCTCAGATGCACATCGGCATTTGGCTGTCTTCAGTTGGCCACCCCAAATGCTGGTTGAGTCCTTTTCCATCTTGATGACAAGCTTCCATGCTTAAAGTCACTGGTTCTGGCTACAGACGTGCCAGGCGCAGCTGTGGGCTTCACACCAGTGACATCTACTTCACACACCTTCTGCCTCTTCTGGGAGGCTGGGGGGCAAATGCCCTGTGTGTCTCCATTCCATAGGGCCCAGTGGGCTTCCGAAGCCACAGCCAGGACCATGGGCAGGAGAGGGCCATACGGAACACTCACACCTTCACCCACAGATGGGTGGGCACTGTTTCCCTGAACAGGAAGCTGGTCCTTGGAGAGAGCCCAAGGACAGCTGCTGAGTCCCATGCAGCAGGGGTCAGGGCTGGGTCCCAGCACCCTCTTTACTGCACAGACCTGACAACTGATCATGCGTCATTGATGTTACTTCTGGGAGTGAAAGGAGGCACTAGGAACAGAGGTCAGCTGGAACCATAAGGCAAAATGGATGTCAGCTTGTCCTACTGGGATAGGGCCCTGTCACAGTTCCATCCTGGCAGGCACAGGCCAGCTCTGTAAGCCCAGGAGGCAGGGCCAGGCACCCTGGATGGGAAGCTACTGAGGTCAGACCCAGCCTGGTAGTGGGATGGCAGCTATTGGAACCGGTGGCCCACGAGATGGACAGATTCCTCTAGGGCCAGTCCCATGTCCTCCTGTTCTGGGCTCCACGAGTGCATGAGACCTGCCCCAGAGCAGGCACAGGTCAAATGGGACTGCAGTGCCCGAGGACAACAGAGGCAGGAAGGCTTCCTCGAGGGAGGGGCCCTGGGGCCCTGATTCTGGCCCACCCACAGAGTCGGTGTCAGAGGAGCTGCAGAACGCCGGGCTGCTAGACCACATCCTGGAGCACCTGCACAGCTCCCTCCAAAGGAGGGACGTCTGCGTCAGCGGCCTGGGCCTGCTCTGGGCCCTCCTGCTGGACGGTGAGGGGCCTCCTCCTGCTGTCCCGCTGTCCCACCAGGGCTGGCAGCCTTGCCCCAGCCACTCCCTGACTGCCCCAAGAGCCTTTGAGGGACCTCCATGTCCAGTTCCTGAAACATTCAGGACAGCCATGGCCTGGGAAAGGCTGAGAGCGTCAAACTACAGCAGAAGAAAATCAAGGAGCAGGAAGACAGGGGAGGAACGGCCTTCGGCCAGAGGCAGGACTTCAGGACTTCTTGTCCAGTGGGCAGACCCTTCCATTTTAAGTGCCTCCTGCCCAGGGAAACATCCTGGGATTTCCCAGGCAGTCCTGGTCCCAGAGGGCGGCGGTGGTGCTGGATGCTGTTTTGCTTTTTGATTCACAATCGGGGGCCTCCCGGCCTGTGCTGCTTCCCTTCCTCTAGACCCCATCTTGGCATTCCAGTGCCCCAGGAAAAAGAGGGCTCCAAACCTTGGAGAGCCCAGGAAACCCGAGAGCCCTGCTAGCACCCAAAGCGCGGGATTCTCCGAACCTTTCCTGGGCTAACCCCTCCCCTCCCTGAGGACAGCTGACCTCCCCCATCCCATTTCTGCTGTTGTCCTTACTGGATGGGGAGTAGGAAGGCCCCCCTGTACACACCAAAGGCCTGGGTGTTCCCTTTCCATCCCTGTCTGGTTCCAGCTGTTATTGTGAACAAGGGTCCCTTGGAGGAGGTCCCGGACCTCATCAGCCAGGTGTTGGCCACCTACCCTGCGGATGCGGAAATGGCGGAAGCCAGCTGCGCAGTCTTCTGGCTGCTGTCCCTGCTGGGTGAGCTGGATGGGCACCCGGGGCCCCTGGGGTGTGGTGGGGGGTGGGCCCCACGCACACAAGAACAAGGCAGCCCGGCTCCTTTCTGCAGGCTGCATCAAGGAGCAGCAGTTTGAACAAGTGGTGGCGCTGCTCCTGCAGAGTGTCCGGCTGTGCCAGGACAGAGTCCTGCTGGTGAACAGTGCCTACCAGGGACTGGCCAGCCTGGTGAAGGTGTCAGGTAAGCCTGGGGACAGGGCGAGACTGCCACCTAGAGTTGGAGGCAAAAAGCCCCCATCAGTTACATCTGCCAGGTGCCACAAACCAAAAAGCAGAAGCAACACATCAAAAAGGAAAATAAATTAAAAACAATCTAAAGTCCAGTCATCCAGAAATCACCATTGAGACTTCCACGCACACTTGATAAACTGTTATGCTACCCGTGACCCTGTCTCTGTCCATATACACATCACATCTGCACAGGTTTCCCAACATGCGGGCACACCGTGACTGATCAAAACAGCCCTGGAGACAGTGTCTCCAATTCCCAACACAAAGCCTGCCTGTTCCTCAGCTGACAGGGTGGGCCCAGCGCTGAGCACAGCACGGTCAGGGCTTGATCCACAGCTCATTCCTTCACAGAGCGCCTGGAGACTCCGGGCTGATGGTCCCGACCTCTGCACTACCCAACCTTCCTCAGAGTAACAAGAACCCCCTGGGCTCTGGGGGGCTGCCGCCTTTGCTCTTGTGTGGTCCTGTTCAGGTCATGCTAGCCTATTGGTCCACCCAAGCTGATGGGGCCTCCTGGGTGCTGTCTCTTGTCCTGTCCCAGCTCTGGGGTGATCCATCCTGTCCTGGGCAGAAGGTTCTTCCCTTTCAGGGGAACAGTGGGGCATGAACCCACTCTCTCCCACCCCCCAGAGCTGGCAGCCTTCAAGGTGGTGGTGCAGGAGGAGGGTGGCAGCGGCCTCAGTCTTATCAAGGAGACCTACCAGCTCCATAGGGACGACCCGGAGGTGGTGGAGAACGTGGCCATGCTGCTGGTCCACCTGGCTTCCTACGGTGAGAACCCCTTCTTGCCTCACAACTCCCAGAGCCCAGCGGTCAGAGGTGCCCCACTCCCCGACAGGAAAGACAGGCTTAACCCCACTTCTCGGCCCTCGGAAACTTCCCACTCATTTGGCATCTTCCAAGCAGCAGGGACTGTCCTGGCTGAGGGTGGTGCATGGGGCTCCGGAACTGCAGGATCTGTGCATGCCAAGCCCAAGGGGGACTGCGACCCACCCTCATCCTCCTGGGGGCTCCCAGCAAGGGGCATGGGAGGGGCTCTGGCCTCAGAACCTTCTCTGCTCCACCTGCAGAGGAGATCCTGCCAGAGCTAGTGTCCAGTGGCATGAAGGCCCTGGTCCAGGAGATCAAGGAGCGCTTCACGTCCAGCCAGGTGAGTGACAGCAGAGCCTTTAACAAACCAGGCCTCCCTCCAGGTGGAAGCCCCCAGCCGGGGTGCACCACATCCGGGGGCCTGGAACAGATGTTTGCATGGAACTGACTTTGACCTCCACACGTAGTTTTCAAGACTGCCCTCCTGCCTCCCTATTAGACCATCTCTATGACTGGGCCAAAATTAATCTTAAACGGGAGGAGTAATCAGACCTCTCTAAAGTTTCCTGTCCATGACTGGTGGATTAAGTCACTGTCCATGAAAACTGACCTGCCTGTTTCTTCCTTCAAGGAGCTGGTTTCTTATGCAAAAAAAGTGCACCTGAGGCTGGAGGCGGCCACCTCTCTCAGCCCCCTGGGCGGGGAAGCTGCTCAGCCCTGATGCTGGAGAGAAGACAGACACCTCAGAGGCCCCTCCTCCATGGGTGCCCACTCCCTGCCCTTCCTTCCCGTGGGCCACTGTTTCCCTTGGGTCGGGGGAAGTGTCGCCCGGGCCCAGCGTGCACACCTCACACTCCTCTCAGGAGACTAATAAAGAGGCCCAAGGCCAGTTTCCCCCGTAATCATCTCTGGCAAAAGTCTGTGACTGGCCAGTGGCGTACTTAATTCTGCAGTCTCTGTAAGCCTCACCCCTGGCTGGGTCAGGGGGCAGCAGTCCGGACACGGCAGTCCTTCCAGACCATTCTAGATGACAGATGACACTGAGTCTCCACAGGCTCCATTCAAAGTAAACATCTGCATTTATTTTAAATCACATCCATGGCGTGTCTGTGCCTTTTCTGTCCTGCTGTCAGGTGCCCCAGTAATGCCTTGGACTCCATCTCCTTGTCAGTGCCACTGGCTGTTCCTGACTCTAGTTCCTGGGGAGCCTCTAACTGCAGCCTAGCCAAGAATGCCACCGGCTGCACCACCTAGCTTCTCCAGCTGAAACAGCCCACAGTCAGCGTATCTGCTGGCCTCCAAGAACAACCATGGTCACCGTGCCCAGGCGATGGAGCCGCATGTCCTTGTGCCATGGGGAGAAACCTCTGCTGGGTGACCTGCCAGCCAAACCTGGGCCAATTTAGACAAAGGCTCAAAGTTCAAATGGCCACAGGACACCCCTGATGTGACAACTGCTATACTGGCCAGCTGTATCTCAGGAGCTGACTGCAGACACCTGCGCTGGGTTCCTCAAGTCTGGCAGATCTCGTTACGTCCCCTAAGACAAAGGAGGAAATGTGGCTCCCCAAGAGGAAGGTGCTGAGCACCCGGGGTGAGTCACCAAAGATGCGTGGTGCCAGCATAATACAGGCTGGCGGCCCACACGTCCCATCCCTGCCTTGCCCTTGGGGTCAGCAGTCAGTAAAGGGTGGCCAGGTGTGCCCACAGCAGTCCGTGCTGCCCACATCCTGGCTTCCACCATCTGGCCCCAAACACACATGGACAGTAAGACCAGGTCTCAGACCACAAAGTCAAGAGGGAGGAGTATGCTCTCAGCAGCACCCACACCACGCCCCTCTGCCATGATTCTGAAGTTGCCACTCTGGGGAGATGTGATCCGTCCCTGTGACTGGTCACACTGCCTCTGTAGGAGGGCGGAAGCAGCAGAGGGCAGGGCTGCTAGGCGTTGTCACTGCAGTGGTCTGGAGCAGTCAGCAGGGGATGCCTGTCTCGGGCCATGCTCTCCCACTCCTTCTTCACCATGATGTACAGTCTCATTGCTGCCTGGGCATCCTGAATCTAGACGACAAGAAAACATCCCAGCAGGTGACAAGGCACAGCCATAGTCCACAGTCAGCTCTGCAATGACCAAGCCCAGCCACTCTGCTAGGGAGATGCTGAGTGAGACGTGGACCTGGCTGCCAGACGTCACCAGGATGGGGAGGGAGGACACGCAAGAAGCAGAGGGAGCAATGACCTGATGGTCTCCACACTTCTGTGACTCAGACGCTCCTCCCAGAAGAAAGGGAAACCCCAAGAGGAGAAGCAACAAACATGCTGCCTTTTTAGGTTTCTGAATGCAGGGTGATGGCAGGCTCGGTGCTGGGCACAGGGGCACAAGGACCAAGCAGACAGGCGAAAAGGGTCCAAAGGCTGAGGCCACGCTGCAGGTGGCGACTGCTCCACCGCGGCAGAGCCAGCTGCTGGCAGGACTAGTCAGGGCAGGATGGGGTCGGGGTCAGGGTCGGGGGAGCCTTGTAATTATGTGGCGACTTTTTCTCCAAATAATGAGAATGTGGTAGTTCTTTTGTGTTAAGTGTTAATTCGTTAAATGTGCACATTCAGAATTTGATCAAAAATCCATCTCTGCTCTGCCAATTTTTTTGGGGACCAATAGCCTTGTAGGAAAAGTATGTGCCCAGGCCCCACCTCCCCCATGTCTGCGTCAGGTGGCTCGCACCTGGTTCCAGGTGAGAAACGGCCCCAAACCCCGAGGACTCCCCAGGACACACTCACCGAACAGTGCTCCGCCTGCTGGATCCGGATCCCAAGGATCTTCTCTGAAAGTAGTCTCAGAGACGGCCTTCCACTCTGCAAAGGGGGAGGAGGTGTGTGGGGGCCTCTGCAGTCTCTGCCCACACAGGGTCACCCCACCAACCAGGGAGGGGTTGGCTACTGAACCCCCACCCAAGTGACCTACAGTTTGCTTCTCAGCAGAGGCGCTCATGACACTTAGGGTGGCAGCTACAAGCTGCAACCTCTTTTTTAGCATGATGGGCTGGTGATATACCCCATCAGCCAATAAAGGGAGCAGGCCAGGGGAGAATCACCTGAGCCAGGAGTTTGAGACCAGCCAGGGCAACACAGCAAGACCCTATCTCTACAAAAAAATATAAAAATTAGCCAGGGGTAGTGGCATATGCCTGTAGTCTGAGACACTTGGGAGGCCAAGGTGGGAGGACTGCTTGAGCCTGGGAGGCAGTGGTTACAGTGAGCTGAGATCGTGCCATTGCACTCCTCCAGCGTGGGTGACAGAGCAAGACCCCGTCTCAAAAAA